GCAGTGTAGTATATTCAGGGACAAGGCCACAGCTTGCTGACTCTCAAATAGAGTCACAACTGAAAGAATTAGAACCTTTGGTCTGGACATCAGGGATAAGGAGTCACTACAAGAAGTCTTGGAAGATGCTTTGTGTCTCAGTCCTGCCAGTGACTCCATACCACACCTCAGCTATTACCAGACAATCAGAGGCTGCACTGCCTAAGCTCAGAGTCTTGGGACATGGGAGTGACCAACAGATGTGTGGGGAGGGGTGGGGGGGGGACCAGTGGAGCAAGCCTCTTTGGGAGTTGGTTTAGGATTGGGAATCTGAGCTGGGGGTAAGGATGGGAGGTACAAGTCCTAAAGGCCTGGGAATAAGGAGAGAGAAATGAGGCCAGCCCCAGGAGATCCTCCCATCTATGGGGAAGTAGCTGATGAGACAGTTGGGCCACTAGGTTTCAGGGCCCTGCCTGAAGGGGCTTGATCAAAACAGTTATAAAAGCTGGTGGGCTGGGAAGGTGGCTCAGTGGTAGAGTGCTTGCCTTGCATGCATGAGGCCCTGGATTTGATTCCTCAACACCATCTCAGCAGAAAAAGCTGGAAGTGGTGCTGTGACTCAAGTGATAGAGCGCTAGTCTTGAGCTGAAGAGCTGAGGGTCAGTGCCCAGGCCCAGAGTTCAGGCCCTACGACTGGACCCCCCCCAAAAAAAAAAAGCAAACACAGACAAAAGAACCCAGTTATAAAATATCTCCCGAGGTTCCAGAGTGATCACTACAGAGTCAGTTCCTTTTTTGTTTGGTTGATATTTTGGTTTTGATTTTATTTGTACTTTCTTGCTTATGTTTTTCTCACAAAGCACTCACATCATTCTGGGAAGTAGGGAGAATGCAAATGGAAAGAAAATAGAAAAGAAAGGAGATACTTATATATGGAGATGCTCACTAGAGACAGTAGCTTTCAGTTATAGGATCTGTTATTGGGTTTTCTTAAAAGGTACTTAAAAATAACTAAGTGATGCTCATTTGAAATGTGGAAATTTGTACAAATAAAAGAAAAAAGAATTTCCAGGATTATGGGATATACTTGTAATTCCAGGACTTGGGAGGCTGAGGTAGAAGGGCTGAACATTCAAGGCCAACATAAGCTACATAGCAAAATCTTGTCTTAAAAAAAAGAATGAAAAAGCCCATAATTATTTTTACAGACAAAGTCAGAATTAGTATTTTGATATGTTTCCTTCTGTACTTTTCTTGAATGTGTAAATGAAAACTTTTTTGTATTTAAACTGTAACTGTTAGCTGGTTTCTTACTTAACATATAGCTGTTTTCTATGATACTAAACATCTCTATAAATACTTAAATCTATAAATTCCTAAAACACCAAGCTGGGTGCTGGTGACTCAGGCCTGCAATCCTAGCTCTTCAGGAGGCTGAAATCTGGGGATCATGGTTCGAAGCCAGTCTGGGCAGGAAAGTCTGTGAGACTTATCTCCAGTTAACTAGCAGAAAGCCAGAAGTGGTAGAGGGCTACTCTTAAGCGCAAAAGCTAGAGGACTATGCTCAGAGTACCAGCACCAATACTGGCACACAAACATACAAAAGACTAAAATACCTCAGTTCCAGGTTTGCTAGAGTGTTTGCTACGCCTGTGAGAGTAGAGGTGAATGTGTTTGTGAGTGCATCATTGAGTGTGTTCATGCATGTTGTGCTAGGGATGTACCACTGTGTGCCTGTGTGTCTGTGTTTGCTAATGAGCACCTCGCTGTAAGTTGGCACTGGAATGTTGGCTTATGCATATTGTCAGAGTTGCATTTCTCCTTGGCCCTGCAGAAGAGGGATGGAGACTGGCCCCTTTTTAGACTCATCCCCTAATCCTGTGGGTCCAGTGGAGAGATAAGGTAAAGAAAGGGCTTCCCAGCACCCTGATGGGTCTGGAATCTCTCTAAACCTCCCACCAATCTCTCTAAACCCACCCTCCCCGTGTCAGGGCAGCCTTTGGGCTGTGGAAGTAAGTGGGGTCTGATGAGGTGTTTATGTGATGCAGGCCGGCCGGAGCCCACAGCCCTCATTCAGCTGTGCTTTCAGACCTGGTCCTCATTCCAGCTTGGCTACGCTGAGTTCCAAGGCAGGCTGGGCTGGTTTTCTCCTTAGAAAGACTAGTCAGTGGGGTCAGCCAGCGGATACGCTAAAGTTAACTTAGCTGTTATTGCTTTTTTGTTAATGAGGGGAAGACCAGCTGCAAAGGGGCCAAACCATTCAGAAATGTGGTGTGCTACTTGGGACTTGAATTCTGTAGCCAGGCCAAAAAATAAAAAGCAATCGACAATAACTTTTAAAGTCCTGACTACTTCTCAAGCCCCCTTGTGCTTCACTGCGCTTTCATTTTATTATTATTTTTTGTGTGGAAAATATTTTTCCTATGAAGTTATGACCCTGGAAGCTGGGAGGAGTGTAGCCAGCTTACTGGGTCTGAGTTCCAAGAGCTAGGGGGTGTGGAGGGAGCTGTGTGGAGGGTGGAGGACCAGGCTCACAGAAGGTTCTGGCTCTCGGGGTGCTGGTGGAGTGATGGCTGGAGATCCATCCTGTGTGACTGTGGGGTTTGAAGGGAAAGGAGCAGAAGCTGGCTTCTCCTGAACTACAATTCATAGGAACAAAGCAACTCATTCTCAGATGAGATTGAAAGGCAGAACTGAATGTCCTGGGTATTCCTGAGCCAAGAGCATGTGACTCGTCTTCACATTTCATGGTCTGCCAGCAAGTTCGCAGATACTGTTCAAAGTGACTCCTTCAACAAACCAGCAAGCTGCTCAGGGGATTAAAGCCACTTGAAAGACTCTGTTAAGGTCCAAGTCCAAATATGTGTAAAATGCTTGGAAGAATTCAGGTCTGAGATAATTCTGCTACAAAGTTAGTCTGTGAACAAATCTAATGGAAAGCAGGGAGGTGGGATATGTCCATCAGCTGAAAGATCAGAATCTTTTCAATATGATACCTACACAGGTTACAAACACATTGTTACATAGATGTGTAAGTTGAGGAGAGACCTTATGTGCATCATGTTAATACAAGAGCATAGAGGAGATTTGATCCTAATCAGGGAGAGGTTGTGAAGACCAAAGGAATGAACATCTGAGCTGTGCCTCAAGAGTGAGACTTGTGTGTGTGTGTGTGTGTGTGTGTGTGTGTGTGTGTGTGTGTGTATGCACACATGCATGTGCCAGCCAGTGCTGGGGTTTGAACTCAGGGACTGGGCACTCTCTTTAACTTTTTCTCTGAAGGTTGGTACTTTACGACTTGAGCCACAATTCCACTTTGGACTTCTTTGGTTTCACAAACATCTTTGCTCGGACTAGCTTCAAACCATAATCCTCTTATTTCAGCCTCTTGTGTAGCTAGGATCACAGGCATGAGCCACTAGCCCCTGGCTAAGAGACAATTGTGTGTGTGCACACGTTCATCCATGTTCGTGCATGTGACACGGCTGGGGCTTAACTCAGGGCCTGGAAACTGCCCCTGAGCTTCTTTTGCTCAAGGTTAGCACTCTACCACTTGAGTCACAGCACCACTTCTGGCTTTTTGTGAGTAGTTTGTTGGACAAAGGAGTCTCGCGGCCTTTGCTGCCTGTGCTGGCTTTGAACCCTGATTCTCAAATCTCAGCCTCCTGAATAGATAGGATTACAAGTATGAGCCACCAGTGTCCCACTAGTGAGACAGTTTTGGTGCTCAGAGAGCAAGGTCTGGTGGGCAGGGGACTTGGCTCAAGCAGAGGTGCAGGATGGGTATTTGTGGTCCTCTGGGAAGAGGAGCTGTGGAAGAGTAGAGGTGAGAATGAAGAAGACAAAGCAGGCTGCTGGCAGGTCTGTGAGAGGTTGATATTCATGGAGTTTGGACTTTATTTTATTTTGTTTTGTTTTGTTTTTGGGTCCAGTCGTGGGGCCTGAACTCTGGGTCTGGGCGCTGTCCCTCAGCTCTTCAGCTCAAGGCTAGTTCTCTACCACTTGAGCCACAGAGCCACTTCTGGCTTTTTCTGCTTATGTGGTGCTGAGGAATCGAACCCAGGGCCTCATGCATGCAAGGCAAGTACTCTACCGCTGAGCCACCTTCCCAGCCCTTGGACTTTATTTTGTTTTTTTTTGTTTTTGTTTTTGTTTTGTTTTGTTTTTTTTAAATTTTATTTTATTTTATTTGAGAACATACTGTACAGAGGGGTTACAATTACATGGTCAGGATAATGCATACATTTCTTACCAAGCATTGCAGCCTCCTCCTTTGTTTACCCTTCACCTCCCTTCCCAGCCTCCCCCCTCCCCCCCACCCAATCATACCCCCCCTCCCCCCCCCTCCGACATTGGACTTTATTTTGTAACTCACAGGTATCATGGTAGATTTTGGAGCAGGAAAGTAACTTGAAAATACCAATTTTGTTTCAGTGAAAGGCAATCGCTTAAATATGTGCTCACTGAAAGGCACTGCAGCTATAATGAATGAAGTCTAGAAAAGAAAAATGAAGCTTCCCCTTCCTAGAAATAGATCTCTAACACTTAAAGGTAGATATGTCTAACCTATAGGTGTGGATACCCAAAAGTCAACCCTTGTAGATAGACAGTTCCCTCCCCTTCGTAATCCTTGCTCCTCCTCTCATTTGCTTCTGAGACATACATTGTACCTCTTAATATATATAGTATTGTGTGAGCCAGTACTGAGACTTGAACTCAGGGCCTGGGTGTTATTCCTTACCTTTTTTCACTCAAAGCTGGTGCTCTACCACATGAGCCACAGTTTCACTTTGGACTTTTTTTGGTACCAAATTGGAGATAAGAGTCTCATGGGCCTTCCTGCCTAGGCTAGTTTTGAACTGTGATCTTCAGATCTCAGCCTCCTGAGTAGCTAGGGTGATAAACACACACAATCAACTTCTAGCTCCTCTTAATATTTTAAGCAATATGAATCAGTACTGTAGTGTGGTGACACCTGTGTGTATTTCACTCAGCTCATCTGCTCTCCCTTCTTCTTTCAGAACACGGTTTTATTGGCTATTCCCCCGAACTGCTACAGGACAACACCCTGCCAGACTACAGTCCCGGGGAGTCTTTTTCCACTGTGTTTGGGGTGTTCTTCCCAGCAGCTACTGGTATGGTAACTTGGATTGTCTTATACCCCTTCATTAGGGGCATAAATGCTTGTTTCCCCAATTCAGTGTCATTTCTGGCCTGCATATGCTTTTAGGATATAGATCTGACTTCAGGGCTAGCATACACTTTGAGTAAAAATCTATTTGTTTTCACAGTATTTTATTTGTTCATAATTCTTATAGGTCCCCATGTGATTTGATCCTCCTTGCCCCTTACATTTACACATTGCTAAGTCTTGGCCAAATTAACAGAGGGGCCATATTTCTCTTAAGACTGAGCAAGATAATTTCCTCAGCAGGACAAGCTGCCTTCCTCATATCAGGAAAGAGATTTGGAAACTCCCCTTCCAATTCTCCTCCATCACATCTTCTCTCAAGGGCAAAGAAAGTCTTTTCTTTTCTTGCTGTACTGGATACAGGCCAAACCATGGTCGCAAGGGCAGTGGATGAGTTCCTTTACCCTATTCTTCTCCACTTCCCTGACAGGCTACAGAGAAGCCTTCCAACACAGAGCTCCCTAGGAGTGCTCATTCCCAGGCCTAAAAAGCAGTAAGTTGGCATGGCTTCAGGTAATTCGTAGAAACACATTTGTTAGGGACTAGGTCCTTAGCTCAAAGCTGGTACTCTCCCGCTTGAGCCACACTTCCAGTTCTGACTTTTGCTGATTAATCAGAGATAAGAGTCTCTTGTCTACCTAGGCTGGACAGCAATCCTCAGATCCCAGCTTCCTGAGTAGTTGGAATCACAGGTGTGCATCACTAATGCCTGGCAAACACATCACTCTTGATCCTGAGAATGTAGCTGAGTCACCTCCTTGTCTTCTATCCTTATTTTCTCTGCTTTACATATGCCATGTCCCTATTCATTACCCTCTCCCCAAATAGGAGAAGCTGCTAGGATATCTAAGGTGAGAAAGCTTGTCCATACAAGTATGGGCAAGGATGTGGAGAAATTGGTAGTCAGACCACTGCCAGCTGGGCACTTGTGGCTCATGCTTGTAATCCTAGCTACTCAGGAGGTGGAAATCTGAGGATCAGAAATCTGAGGATCAGTGATTGGAGGATTGTGGTCCAAAACCAGCCTAGGGAGGAAAGACCATGAGACTCCTATCTCCAATTAACCACAAGAAAAACTGGAAGTGGAGCTGTGGCTCAAAGTGATAGAGTACTAGCCTTGAGCAAAAGAGTTCAGGAACATTACCCAGGCCCTGAGTTCATGCCCCATGGCTGACAAAAAAAAAAATGTGGGGCTGGGAAGGTGGCTCAGTGGTAGAGCGCTTGCCTTGCATGCTCGAGGCCCTGGGTTCGATTCCTCAGCACCACATAAGCAAAAAGAAAAAAGCCGGAAGTGGCGCTGTGGCTCAAGTGGTAGAATGCTAGCGTTGAGCTGAAGAGCTGAGGGACAGCGCCCAGGCCCAGAGTTCAGGCCCCACGACCGGACCCAAAAAAAAAATGTAAGATGGTGCTGCCATTTTGGAAAACAATTTAGTATTTTCATAAAAATTAGACATATAGGGCTTGGAAGATGGCTCAGTGGTAGAGTGCTTGCCTTGCATGAATGAGGCCCTGGGTTCGATTCCTCAGCACCACATAAAAAAGCCAGTAGTGGTGCTGTGGCTCAAGTGGTAGAGAACTAGCCTTGAGCTGAAGAGCTGAGGGACAGTGCCCAGGCCCAGAGTTCAGGCCCCACAACCGACCAAAAAAAAAAATTAGACATATAGGGCTGGGAATGTGGCTTAGTGGTAACTCTACCACTTGCCTTGCACGTATGAAGTCTTCAGTTCGATTCTTTAGTACCACATAAACCGAAATAAATACAATTATAAAAAACAATTAGACATATACCCAGCTGGGCTACTCCTGGTTATTTCCTACAAAGAATTGAAAGCATGTGTTTATGTGAAGATCTGTATGGGGAAACTCAAAGCAGTTTAATTTGTTACACTGCCTACCGAGTGAACACAGTAAAAATATAATAAATTTAAAAATAAAAAAGAAGTGCTGGGCATTGGTGGCTCATGCTTATGATCCTCATTACTCAGAAGGCTAAATTCTGAAGATGGCATTTCCAAGCCAGCCTGGGCAGAAAAGTCTGTGAGACTCTTATCTCTAATAAACTACTCAGAAAAAGCAGGAAGTGGCTCTGTGACTTAAGTGGTAGAGTGCTAGCTTTGAGCACAAAGAGGCTCAGGGACAGTGTCCAGGTCCTGAGTTCAAGCCCCAGAACTGGCAAAAAAAAAAAGAAGCCAGGTGCTTGTGGCTAACGTCTGTAATCCAGACTATTCAGGATTCTGAGCCTTGTGGATTATAGTTTGAAGCCAGCTTGGACAGAAAAGTCCATGAGACTCCTATCTCCAATTAAACAACCTTCCTCCCCTAAAAAAACAAAACAAAACTGGAAGTATGGATTTAGCTTGAATGATAGAGTATCAGTGCTCAGGCCCTGAATTCAAGCTCCAGAACTGGTGCATGCATGCATGCACACACACACACACACACACACACACACACACACACACACACACACACACACACACACACACACACACACACACCCATAGCATTCTGATGTTAGTTATATTTCAACAAAACAGACAAAATGAAAAAAAAATCAGTTGTCCTCAGTCTCAGCTTTCCCTCTAGCAAAAAGCCCCTTTCTCTCCTTTTCTCTTTTGTTCTTTCTTTTTTTCCTTCTTTTGTTCCTCCCTCCCTCCCTCTCTCCCTTCCTTTCTTCCTTCTTTCGTTCCCTCCCTCCCTCCTTCCCTTCTTTCTTTCATTCTTTCTTGTTTGCTTGCTTTCTTGCTGACTTTCCACCAATTAAGTCATGCCTTTCTCTCCTTTTTCTCCTTTTCACAATGGAATAAAGGTCCCTGTCTCTCTTTCCCACTGCCTATACACCGGTGTCCATTGCCAGTGAAATAGATCTTCCAGGGTCATTGGTGACCTGCATATACTGAATTCCATGAGCAATTTTGATTTTACACTTGATTTGATTTCTCCATTCTTCTTTGCCTCTCTTGTCTGTTATGGAGTAGCAACCTCCAAACTCCCCGCCCTCACCTACCTGTATGGCTCTATTCTCTCCTACCCATCCTTTTGATGATGAGATTTTGCAAGGTTACTCCTGGTCTCTTCTTTATCTGATTTTTTTTTAGCCCTGAAAATGCTTCCCAGCCTTTCTTCAGTATCTCTCTTGCAATACATTAATGGAACAGATGTTCAAGGGGCTCCTGGCCATGGTTGCCTGGCCCTGAGAGGAGTCTCTGCCAAGGAAGCACCCTGGGCTGAGATATCAGGGGTAGGTTGTCCTTGGTACCCCAAGAGGTTGTCTCAGTAACATGACCCTGATGTGTCCATAGTTTATGCCTCTGCAGGTCCCAAGTCTTGGTAAGAGAGGGTGTCCTAGTCTTTTGGGGAGGGCAGGGAGGTAGAGGCTTGGAAATGGTACTTAGCAGCCCAGAGTTGGTGGTGGATTAACTTTGAGATCAGTTAGTCCATCAGAAGCCAGAGCTGGTGCCTGCTAGGCAAGTGCTCTACCACTGAGCTACACTCTAAGCCTCTTGGAGATACTGTCTTGTAAATCATTATTCCTTCTTGATAATCATACTCAAAACCACATAGGCACCGGAAATTCTGCTTCAATGAGCAGCATCTTTGTATTTTCTTTGAGAATTATAGCTACCTAAGATTTCTAGTCACGATTTATATTCTGTGGTTTAAGTTATGCAAGCATTTTGTAAGTAGTCCAGATAGAAAATGGGACTGTTGAATAGATTGTCAAATGCAAAGCTTCCTTAGTCCATCCTTCCTAGCAGATGGGTTTTTCTGTTCTTTCTTTTCCTCCAACTAGGTTGTGAAGCACTGATCTGAGTTTGTTTTGCTAACTGGGATGGAGGGGGCCTAGAGATACTTATGAAGCCCTTGATAAAGGTCACACAACTAACTAGCAAGTAGAGCTAGGTCATCACCCTCTTGTGGAGGGTTGCCTGCCCCTGATTCTCTGTTATTCGGGGGAGGGGAGAGAGGGCAATGTAAATGCAATAGGCAGAATGAATGGGTTGTACCACTTATTTTTCCCTTGGCAGATGTTCTGTGAAGCTATGAAAAGCTTGGATGATTGGCAGTTTCCATGGCAATGGTTTTGCTAAGGATTAGCTGTGAGTGAGTCATGGCTGGGGCTCCCTCCAACATCATGCTCTTCTGGAACAGGAGAAGCTCCAGGAAGTAGAGAGGGAAGCAGAGCCTGAAGAACAAACTCTTACACTACCTCACATATTTTATCCCCAGAGCAGGCAGTTTCCAAAGAGGAGCTGAAGGTGAGGTGTTGGTGGCCCGTATGTCTTCCTTCACTTCACGGGGCTCTACCATACCCTGTGGTGTCTGCAGGGTTAGGGTTGGTGGTGGTTTGGCACGGTCTCTGCATTTGCTTTGCTTCTCAAAGCACTCTCCTTCTCCAAGCTCCCACCTCAGACTTTGCCTAAAAAAAAATAAGTATCTCTCCCTTTAGAGGTTTCCCTAAACACCCCTCAAATACAGCTACTTTAGAGAACCAGGAACACAATTCATGGAGAAACTAGGAAATGGAAACTCACTGAGAAAAATACCAGTTGTGTGAAGTCACATAACTCTTGTCCCCAGATCTTGAATTTTTACTGGAAGGATTAAGAACCCTTTGGCCACAATCAGCACTTGGGGCCTGTGGTCGACCACACCCAGCATAACAACTTTGGTAAGGAAACCAACAGCTTTTACCAAAATATCCTCAACCATTTTCCTTGTCCTAAAACCCTGCTCGTTCTATCTTTCTTTTCTTGTTCCCTTTCCTTTCCTTTCTTTCTTTTGGGCCTGAGCTCAGGGCCTGGGTGCTGTTCCTCAGTGCTTCAGCTCAAGGCTAGCGCTTTATCACTTGAACACAGTGCCATTTCTGGCTTTTTCTGCTTATGTGGTGCTGAGGAATCGAACCCAGGGCCTCATGCATGCAAGGCAAGCACTCTACCACTA